TGCATGGTGCCAATTGTCAGCTGTCAAGTGCATGGTGCCAATTGTCAGCTGTCAAGTGCATGGTGCCAATTGTCAGCTGTCAAGTGCATGGTGCCAATTGTCAGCTGTCAAGTGCATGGTGCCAATTGTCAGTGGTTCCAAAATGTGTCTTTCACTGAAACTTTGGCTGTTATTGAAAAGTTGCAAGCTGGAGCCCTGCTAGTGTGATGGGTCATTTCTACAGGTATTACACATTGTGAATTTCATTGCATTAGAGTTGTAGATTTGGATAAAGGATAAGTCAATAACTTGTATTTTCTCTTGGTTGCAGCATTTATCATTTGGTGCTGATTCTAATGGCAGTGGGGTCGCTGCACTTCTGGAGCTCAGCAGACTTCTCTCCAAACTCTACACCAACTCAAGAACTCATGCTAAGTATCCTTACACAAAGGATGAAAGTTATTTGTACAAGTGGGAAAAATTCATGTTTGCAGAGTTAAGTCCCATCTTTCTTTGAAACACTCTGCACTTTAACTACAAAACTCTGCTGAACAAGTTGTAGATGTAAGGCAAACCAAGTCAAGTATTTGTGAGGGTTGGTGCAGGGAGAGACATTTGTGCCTTGCATTTCATTCACAGTCACAAGCCTTATGTGAACACCCAGTGCTGTTCTGAGTCACGAAATGAAGAGGACTCTTAAGTGTTTGTCCGTCCGTCCATCGGGACATCCTTCCATCTGTCGACCATGATTGGCAAAACAAACCTTTGTTTATCCTTTGAGTCCATCTTAAATGGCAGGGAAATAGAGATGTCCTCTGCCAGTCATACCTAGACTTCTAACATATTTTCCCTTTGTTTTGTAACTTAGCTTTGCCGCTGACAAGTCATTTGTCCTTAATGATTGTCAGGTTTAATTTCCTCTTCCTGTTATCTGGCGGAGGAAAATATGGCTACCAGGGAACCAAGAGATGGATTGAAGACAGCTTAGAAAGTACAGGTACAGGTACAAGGAAGCCTTTGGCTGTAAAACAGGAAAAGCAAATGAATGAGGGATTTCCAGTTGGATATAGACACAAAGTTGGCAGATTTGGGAGGAGTTTGCAGGATTGGTGTATTGCCTGTGTTGCTCGTTGGGAAATTTGGCTTCTTTTCAAACCACGACATTTGTTCTTATATCACTCGTGGTTTGGCTCGTTTGGTTTGTTTTCTGATTTTAAAATAGTTCATCATAGGTTGGTACTGAATTTAATTAATTGATCTTCTTGGGATGAAATCTCCTTGACCCAAAAAAATTCACACTATTTCTTACTTTTTTCCTAGAATCCACACTTCTGAGTGATGTGTCCTTTGTGCTGTGTCTAGACAGTATCGGTGCTAGCAATGACTTATTTCTTCATGTTTCCAAACCACCAAAAGAAGGCTCAACTTCTCATCAAATTTACAAGGTAAATGTTAGTAATACATTCCTACCAAATCCAAACAGCGAACAACTTTATAAGGCTTTCCTGGTGTTCCTTGGATTCAAGGCACTTTCTGGAAATTTTATAGAAATTGGCAAAGTCCATTTGCCTGTGATTTTGCAGCTTGCAGTTATAATATTTTTGTATTATAATCAGAAAAATTCTCTGTGATTAGAAACATGTTACATTGTCTTGACTTCAGCCTGAAGGTTGTAACATTAGGTTATACTGTTACTGTACATTTTTGTAGATTTTTATTCGTTGGTCTTCCAGAAATGG